CTTTTTTTTAAGTGTATGACAGTTTTATTTAGATACCACATTGAGTAGGGTATCTACAAGCACACATCTAATAACCTGTCTTGCCTTTTTAAAAAAACTTTATTTTAACCAATGTACTATAAACTTAACCAATAAATTTAGGTAGATGGTGCAAGCATGTGTATTCTGGAGTCAGGCTGTCTGAGTTCAAATCTTGACTCTACTAATGACTAACTAGTCTTGTTCCCTAGTGAAATTATTCTACCTCTTGAACCCCACTTCTCTCATCTACAAAATGAAAGTAAACATTGTACCTATTGTACCTACCTTTTAAGATAACTGCGAGAATTGAATGAGATTGCTCTATGTAAAGCACCTTGGACATTATAAGCACTTGATAAGGTTTACCATTATTCTATGATTATTAGCACATCCATGACCACATCGTCTGTAACCTTTATGATGTCACCAGGGAAAAAGAAAGCTGATAGCCCAAGCATCTCCATTAAACAACTTCTCATATCTAATTTTGATTTTCTTCTTATACACGTACATACATACTCTCAAACACGTTTTCTGGTAAAAGCATTACTCATAGTGTAGAAGACTTGGTATGGTCTGAATGCTCTGCATCCTCCCAAAATTCATATGTTGAAATCCTCATGTTCAATGTAGTAGTATTAGGAGGTGGAGCCTTTCAGAGGTCTTTCAGAGGTGCTTAGGTCACAAACGTAGAGTCCTCATGGATGGAATTAGTGCTCTGATAAAAGCAATCTGAGAGAGTTCTTTGGCCTCTTCCATGCCACAGTAAGGACAGAGCAAGAAGTTGTTAGTCTGCAACCCTGAAGATGGCCTTCACCAGAACCTGATCTTGGTGGCTCTCTGATCTCTGACTTCCAGCCTCCAGAACTGTGAGAAAAGTAATTTCTGTTTAAGCCATCCCTTTCTATGGTGTTTTGTTATGGCAGCCCAAGTTGACTAATAAAAGTAGTATACTTTTATTTTCAATGTTCAAATACATAAGAGAAAATGATTCTAAGTTTCTATTTTGCTAATTTCATCAGTTCCATACAAATTCATGGTATGCACAGTTTTCAAAGACAGCAGGGTATGTCAGAATCAGTCATGATCAGAGAGACATTACTATACTCCCACCTACAATGTAATTTCTTCTTAACAGCACAATATTAAGGTTTCTTATTTTTCAACAAGCTGCTTGAAACAGTTCTAGTTAGTTAGGCCATGGTCAGACAGATATTACAGTCATGTTTGTAATATGTTGTAAGTTAAAACTTAGGGAGTCTTACCTTTTATATCTGCCTGAAACTGTTCTAGATGGGTCCTATAAAGCAAAAATAATGACATCAGTTTGGGTGTGTGTACAAGAACACAATTCCACATTATATAAAAGTTAATAATGTTTAACTTTGAAAGAAACTAATTTGGAACAAATATCATTGCTTTAAAAAACTGACAGTGCTGGTCAAACAAAATAAGACTCTACATCTGATTTCTCAGACAAAAACAACCACTTTTTAAAAATTATATTTCTAATTTAGAAGATTTTTAAAACTCAGAAAATTGAAAAAGGAAGCATCATTCATCAACCAATCAGCTTAAATCATTTTTGGAAGCCAATGAGCATTTAAAAACACAATTAGAATCAAACATATATATATACACAATATATATATACATGTATCTCTCCCTTCTGTTTTTAATGCCCTCAATTAAAAAAAGATTCACCCCAAATACATATAATGATTAATGCTTATTTTAAAAGACAGCTAAAAATTAAAAGTAAGAAAGTACTCTTTATGCTGATTGTATGCTATCCAAAAGAAAGGTTGCTGAAAGTTAACATTAACCACTGGGGTGGGGAAATTATTACCTTGCAATTTACCGGGCATTTTTCTGTTCAATCTTTTTTTTTTTTTAAGATTTTATTTATTTATTTGAGAGAGAGAGAGAGAGAGTGCGCACCTGGGAGCAGGGAGAGGAGCACAGGGGGAGGGCAAGGGGGAAAGAATCTCAAGCAGACTCAGCGCAGGGTTTGATCCCTCCACCCTGATCATGACCTGAACCGAAACGAAGAGTCAGACACTTAAGCAACTGAGCCACTCAGGCATCCCTGTTCAATCTTTTTTTTTTAAGATTTTATTTATTCATTTGAGAGAGAGAGAGAGACAGCAAGAGAGAGCATGAGCGGGGAGGAGAGGGAGAAGCAGGCTCCCTGCTGAGCAGGGAGCCCAACGCAGGGCTTAATCCCAGGACCCTAGGATCACGATGCCTACCCGACTGAGCCACCCAGATGCCCCAACCCCTGTTCAATCTTTTAATAGCCAAGGCTCTCCAAATATTTTTTGCAGTTTCATTTTAATAAAATCAGTCAAAATGAAATGATGAGTCTTTTTAAAAACTGATCACTCTTTTCTTCTAGTTATCATTTAAAGTATTCAAGAGAGACTCTACAGTTAAAGAATGTCTGATGTTAAAATCAGAGAATCCACTCCCTTTATAAATAAGATGACCAGATTCCAGGGCGCCTGGGTGGCTCAGTTGGTTAAGCGACTGCCTT